CGTATTTGTGCACCTCGAAGTTGAAAGGCAAAAGACAGCACACCCGTTCTTTGCGTGTCTTTTGTGATTGTTAAGAACAATGGTCAGAATCCACAACTGACATATTCTTGTGTTTATGGCTTCACTCTACAGAATGTACTCTTTTTGTAAGCCAAAGATCTGCCTGTCCTGGAACCTGTTATCTAGACAGTGTTAATAGGTGGTGCTTCATGTTAATTCTGTTTTCTTCCCTAGAGCTAGGATCTCAATAGTCTTTCTCCTGGAACTGGTACATCAGCTACTGAGCACATCAGGTACCAAGTGAATCCAAACTTGGGATGTGCAAGAGGCAGGTGCGTGCTAGGGAAGAAAGAAATGTGCATATTTCTATGTAGTTTGTGTTCCAGCCTTTGTGCACCTTTCCCCTGACTTTGAAGCCAGTGGAAGCACAGTGGTGTTGGGGAGTTAAACAAAATCCTTGAGATTTGTTTCCCACGAACATCCTAACAACCAAAATTGACATTACACTTGCTTTCTCACGGCCTTAACTGGTTACCTTCCCTTGAAGAGACGCCCTCTGCCATTTGCAATGGCTTGCTTCCTTCTGTCAAACCAAGTGCTGAATCTGTGTTGACAGCACTAGATACACACAACCCACATGTGTCATTCCAACAACATTTCCACCTAGCGTGGATTTTACATGTTGCTCGGAGCTTACGTGGAATGTAGATTTCATTTCCAATAATGATTTTTATTGGCAAAGCAAGTAAATTAGATTTTTGTTAATTTCGAACAAAGGCAGTGCTGTTGGTTTAATATATACAATTAAATTGAGATCTACTTTAAATGAAAATGGAAAACAAGCTCAGAAATCAGTCAGTACCATGTTTATGGCTGTAGCTTTTGTATATATACTTGGATGCATTGAGAAGGGGGGGTGGGAGCCGATCAGCATTGCCAGGCTTTTTATTTTATTCTGAAAGGGGAAAAAAAAAGTAGTGGTCTGGCAGATTTAAAATTGCATGTAAGATATTACATAAGGTGATAGTTTGTATATTCCTTGAGTACTCCATTTTCCCACAGATCAGGTTTAATCCCGTGGCCTGTCAGTCTGCACTAGTGTTGGGTCCCCGTAAGGCAGACCTTGTGATCTGGCACTTGAAAGCGTTTGTACTAATAACAGTGAGTTTGAACGTTGCTACATCTTGACATTGGACGTTTGCAAATTGAATGCATCTCTTTCTCTCTTTATGACAAGTTATCTGCTTAGTGTTACGGCTTTGGGACGGCTGCCAGTGAGTTACTGTCTTCAGAACGAAGTTGTGGGGAAGGAAGTGATTTCCTGTTACATTGGCTTAGATTGATTGCTGCTGAGGTGGGTTTTGTGTTCAGGCAAGCGAGCTTACACTGAAGTCGGCAGGATACTTGGGTCTCTGGTTCAAGTTCAAATTCAACCACTAGGGGGTTATGATATTTTACAAGGCTTAATCCCAGAGTTATTCCTTTCATAAAAGGCTATCTTTTGTTCCAATATTTAAATATATTTGGCATTCAAGTATTGATGGCAATGTTACACATGAGTATTCAGATAGCTCTTCAAGAGATGGCTCTCATGTCCTTTGGATTCATGCCCAGGAGCTGTGGAGCTGGATCTTACGGCAGCTTCATTTTTTAACTGTAGCTTCTGGGTTACCTTCATACAAGGTTTTCACAATGGTCATTTCTTCTCTCATGATTTGAGGGTTCCCTTTAATTCACACCCTGGGCACCATTTAGTGTATTCTGTCTACTTAGTAACAAAGTTATAGGAACAAGCAGATATCTTTGGGGTTTTTGATTTGTAATTACCTGATCAATAGTGACAGTATGTTTTTTTCACATACCTCTTGGAATTTTATGTCTTATTTTGGAAAGTTTCTTGCCTATTTTAACCAAAATATGTAAATTTTGACTGTACAGTCGTTTGCGTTCCCTGGGCGTTGTGGGTTTTAACTGCCTATTAGAAGAGCGTCTTTTGCACACGTTGCCCAGTTCTCTTGATCGGCTCTTCCCTTTGCAGCGACCTCTGCTGTGCAAAAGCTCTTTGCCTTGGTTGAATTCCGTGGTCCAATCTTTCTTATGCTTCCTTTGTTTTCAGACTGAGATCTGGAAAACCCTTACCCGTTACACTGTCTAGAAGCTTTTCTCCTGGGTGTTCTCATAATGATTTTAAACTTCATAGTTAGGTCTTTAGTCCATCTTGAGTGGCTTTTTTTTGTATACAGTGAGACATACAGAGGTCTAGATTTATTCTTTTGCAGGCAATTATTCAGTTTTATCAATACCATTTATTTTGTAAAAAATTCATTCCGTCACATGTTCTTAGCACTTTGAGCGAATCGGTTGGCTGTACCTGTAGACTATAAATAGTGGCATTGGTCTATGGATCTCTTTCTATACTGGTATCACAATGGAACTTACCGTGTCTTTGCGATGGAGTATACATTCATAGTCTTTTGAAATCAGGTAGTTTAAGGCCCTCTTTTTTTTTTTTTTTCCTCTTAGCCAAGATCACTTTGGTCTCTTTTGGTTCATATAAATTTTGCTGAATTTTGAGGGGCATTATGAATATAACAGGGGCTTTGATATTGATTGCACTGAATGTGTACGTTTGGATAGTATCTACATTTTCATAATATCGACTCTTATGAACATGTTATATCTTTCCATTTCTTTTTGTCTTGTTTGCTTTTCTTTTATCAATGATTTGTATTTTTGTGTAGATCTTTTTACCTCTTTGGTTAAATTTATTATCAATACTTTCATTTTTCTTTTTTGATAGCTGTAGAAAATGGAATTACTTTGAATTCTATTTTGGATGATTTGTTATTGATGTATAATAATGTTACTGATTTTTTTGACCTAGACTTTATATCTTGCAGACTTGGTTAATTTGGTTATTGTGTCAACTTTGTGGGGAAGTCTTTGAGGTTTAGCACAGAAAAGTTAATTTTAACTGCAAATAGGTTCATTCCTCTTCCAAACTGGGATCCCGTTCATTTCTTTGTCTTGCCTAAGAACTATAGCTAGATCTTCTGGCACTGTGATATATTAAAGAGGTGAGCATTAGCATACTTATTTTGTTCCAGATATTAGAAAACTTTCACCTTGCTCCTGTGCACTACGTGGTTAGCTGTTGACTTGTCATATATGCGACTTTACATGCTGACATATACTCCTGCTCTAACTTATTTGTTCAGAATTTTTGTTTTTTATCATCAATGATGTTTATATCAAAAGCCCTTTCTGGATATGTTGCTAGAATGAAAAGATTTTTAGCCTTTGCTTGGTTGATTTTGTGTATAATACTTACTGCCTTGCATATATTGAACCATCCTTGAATTTCTGAGTTCAGTCTCGTTTGATGATTGTAATTTGGATTCAGTTTGCTAGTACTCTGCATTCATCAAGTATACTGGCTTGTAACTTTCTTTTTTTGGTGGTCCCTTGTCTGGTTTTGCTATAGGGTAATTCAAGATTCATAGAATGCATTTGGAAGAATCCCATGTTTTTCTACTTTTGAGTTAATAATTATTGAGGGCATTTATTCACTAAAAGATGAGAACATTCAGCTTTAAAGTCTTCTGATTCTGGGCTATTCTTTGATGGGAAGTGTTTTTATTGTGGATTCAATTTTGCTAACCATAACTGGCATGGTTAGGAATTCTGTTGTCTCATATTCAGTCTTGGTAAGATATGTGTGTCCAGGAATGTGTCCATGTCTTCTAGGCTTTCAAATTTTCTGCCATATAATTTTTCACAATAACCTCTAACAATTCTTTGCCTTACTGTAGTGTTGGTTGTAACATCTCCATTTTCATCTCTAATTCTCCATATTTGAGTAATCTCTTTTTTGTTCATCCAGCTGAGGATTTATAAAGTTTGTTCATTGCTTACTTTTTGAAGTAAACAGCTCTTCATCTCATTTATTATTTGTGATTTTTAGTCTCTACATAATTTGGGGGCTTTTGTTTTCAGTATTTCATTACTCATTCCCACTTTGGGTTATTTGATCTTGTCTTCTACTTCTTTAAGGTGCAGTAATATGTTGTCTGTTTGACATCTTTCTCAGGTTTTTGATGCAAATATTGACTTTTGTATATTTTGCCATCAGTTCAATTTTTGCAGTATCCCATGGGTTTTTGTGTGGCATTTTCACTCATCTCAGGATATTGTTTTCATTTCCTCCTTGATTTCTTAATCCACTCATGTGAGTTAATTTCCTTGTATTTTGTTTAGTGTGCATATTTTTCTTCTTATTGATTTAAAGTTTTATTGCTTTGTAGTCAGAAAAGAGACTCAAAATGATTTCTATTAAGTTTATTGAGACTTGTTTCAAGTCTTCAGCACATGATCTTTCCAGGATAATTTTGAATGTACTATTGTTAAGAATGTATAATTCCATAATTGTTGGGTTGAAAGTTTTGTAGATTTCTATAGCTCCGGCTGATGTGAGGAGACATTGTATAAGGCTTATGTAGACCCTACATTTCCAAAACTGGAGGTGTTCAAGCACTGTTGCTGTGTTGAAATCTCTCCCATAAGCTCTGTCAGCACTACCTTTGTGCGTTGGGATGCTATATTGATGCATACATTTGTATATGTTATTTCCTCCTGCTGGTAGAGCCAATTACTGCTTCTTATTCAAAACATATTTAATCTGGTAGAAATGCAGCTACCCCTGCTTTCTCGAGCACCGATGGTGTGCACAGTCTGATTTCCTCCTTTCGCTTTGAGTCTGCATATCCAAAGAGAGCAAGTGAACTGCCTGAAAGCAGTGTATAGATGGATCCAGGCTGTTCACTCGTTCATATGGCGTGAGGATCAAAACAGTCATAGTTGGAGCTCCAGCTAGCAGCAGATAAGCTACTGAATGTCCTTCGAGACCCTCAGGTGTTTGATGTTGCTGCTTTTCTCTGTCGTGGTGGTTCTTCTCTCTTGAATAACATACTTGTTTCATGTTCTTGTTTCTCACCATGCAGATAGAGGATATGCAGTGGGGTAGAGGAGTCCGCGAGATTCCCCCCTCTGTGTGTACCCTGCCCTGTAAGCCTGGACAGAGGAAGAAAACCCAGAAGGGCACCCCGTGCTGCTGGACCTGTGAGCCCTGTGATGGCTACCAGTACCAGTTCGATGAGATGACCTGCCAGCATTGCCCCTACGACCAGCGGCCCAACGAGAATCGAACTGGCTGCCAGAATATCCCCATCATCAAGCTGGAGTGGCACTCTCCCTGGGCCGTCATCCCTGTCTTCCTTGCCATGCTGGGCATCATCGCCACCATCTTTGTCATGGCCACCTTCATCCGTTACAATGACACGCCCATCGTCCGAGCCTCTGGCCGTGAACTCAGCTATGTGCTGCTGACAGGCATCTTTCTTTGCTACATCATCACTTTCCTGATGATCGCAAAACCGGATGTGGCAGTGTGCTCTTTCCGGCGAGTTTTCTTGGGCTTGGGTATGTGCATCAGTTACGCAGCCCTCTTGACAAAAACCAATCGGATCTACCGCATCTTTGAGCAGGGCAAGAAGTCAGTCACAGCCCCCAGACTCATAAGCCCCACATCTCAGCTGGCAATCACTTCCAGTTTAATATCCGTTCAACTTCTGGGCGTCTTTATTTGGTTTGGTGTCGATCCACCCAACATCATCATAGACTATGACGAACACAAGACCATGAACCCTGAGCAGGCTAGAGGAGTTCTCAAATGTGACATTACGGATCTCCAAATCATTTGTTCCTTGGGCTACAGCATCCTTCTCATGGTCACATGTACTGTGTACGCCATCAAGACTCGGGGTGTGCCTGAGAACTTTAACGAAGCCAAGCCCATTGGATTCACTATGTACACCACGTGTATAGTGTGGCTCGCCTTCATTCCAATTTTTTTCGGCACTGCTCAGTCGGCAGAAAAGGTAAGTGAAAATGCACAGCTCACCATACATTTCAAAATGCATCTTTAGGTACGGAAACTCTGTCACTTGTGTGATGCTAAAGGTTTTATATGTGCAGAACTGTGTTTCCAAGAGTAGAAACTACTTGAATCAACAAGAGTCAATACTCCGGGTGTTTAAAATGTGTTAATGATTTTGAAGCATTTATCTTGCTACAAACCAGCTAAAAGTTTTCTTTTCTGGTTGATTATATTTATCATAGAAGTATCCAACATCATAGATTATTTAGTGTAAAAATATCTAAATGAAGGAATACTGTTTGTGTATAGCTTTTCATTCCTGCTTGCACACCTATTTCTTTATGATGAGAGGATACAGCTGCAGGACCTGGTTCTCCAGGTAGGAGTGGGTGGTGGCCATCATCTTCTTGGGTAGGGGTGCTCTGTCTCTTCTGTAGTGCCTGAGTGCTTGTGGCTACGGACAGGACTGGAGAATAAGCTCTACAGCATACCAGAATGGCCCGATGTATACTGATAGAATATAACCAGGTGGGTGAGTAAAATAGAGCTTTGGTTATCACTCTTTTCTACGCTCCCCGCAGTTACGTGTAATTGTAACAGTGAGTAATACATATTGAGATCAGAGCCCCAACTTTCTTGCCGAGGGAGGTAGTATGGCATCAAGCTGTGGAAGTTTTAGGTTCTCAAAGTTGATAGTCTCTGTCCTTAGGGGAAAAAAAAATTTTTTTAAAAAAGGTCCTAGTCTCCAGTACGTTGGTCTATGGTGTGTTTGTCTTAGATCCGATTCATGTAGTGCTTCCCAGTGGTTATAAGGTTATGTGTCTATCTTAGGCAGCTCTGAAGTGCAGATTCTCATGTGATTTCTATCATCTAGGGCTCCCACCTATGCTAATTTAGCAAACTTGCAGTATTAGATTAGACATGATTCATACTTACCTGACTCCTACACTCACATAATTGACTTTGGGTTTGTATACATGCAATTTTGACAAACCCCATTTTTTAATGCTAAGAAGATGCAGGGTCCTTCACTGCATGTGGGCAGCTGTGGCAGGTTGGTGCAAGTGAGGCTGACTTGGAGATCTAGAATCTGAGCTGACGCTCTCTGTAGAAGAGACCGTAGTTCCAGCTTGGTGAAGAGTTGGCAGCCCGTGTATCTGTCCTGATTTCATAGTGCTTTGACTGCGTCTCGTGAGCGTTCAGAGATACAGCGCCCTGAATGAAAAATACGCAAAAGTCACTAGTTGGATCCTATTGGTTGTTGTAAACTACACTCCCTGGAAAGTCATGTGAAGAGTTCAAGGCTTTTGGCTGGTTTTCCAGATGCAGAGATGTGTAGTATCCCACTTGCGTGATCCAGAATCTACAGACTGGGGTTGCATTAAAAAAATTAAGTGAAAAGTAGAGTAAATCATGCAGAATTCTAACATCAATGTATCCAGATTCTAAGTTGAGTTATAAAGTATCTTAGAGGAAATTTTAGAATATAAATCTCAGTGCATAGCTATGTGTCACATTCAATGCCTGATGGTCAAGTGATGAACATTGAATGTCTCCTGGGGCCTGATGGTGACATCTAAGCATCCAGAGGTATTATCTGCATTATCTCAGCCGACAGTTCCCTCTGAAGTAGGTTGAAGATGGGTTTCTGTACATAATTCTTGAGGAATCAAAGATCGATGGATAATTGCAGTGACTTTTCAAATGAATCTTGTTACACTTCGCGTTTGATTTGTCTACTAGGTCATTTTTCTTCTCTAACAGTTCTTAGTTTCTGGCCTTGACCGTGGCTCTTTTCAATAAGATCATGTGTGTAAGTCACTCATTTAAAACCTTGGAAATGAGAGGCGTCAGGACTGGCATTCACCCATTCTAATGATCCCGGAATTTGTTGTGCTAGTAGAATTGAACTTCATGAGACCCTAGCCTGTCTTCATGCCGTCCACCTTTTAGCCGAGGCTCAGGAAGCACATGTTTTCACTTGTGTCATCTTGATAACTTGGGCAGGCCTGCATGGTTGATCGGCACAACTAAAGATGCCGAGTTGGCAAATTAAAATAGTGAATTATTACACAAAAATACACCCACCATAATGATAGGCATATGGCGAGAGAAGCATCAATGATCCATTAAAGAATATTACTTTACTTGTATGAAGCCATGAGATTCAAATTTTAGAAAGCAGGATGCTGTCAGGTGCTATAAATAGACATAGCAAAATGTGTTTTCTTTTGCCGTGGTAGCAAGTTGCAGATTCCAAGATCTTCCATTTTTATATACATGTAACAGTTTAAGTGTTTTTAAAAGAAGAATTTCACAATAACACAGCAATAAAGATGAGTCAGTGAGTTCAGTAGTGACTATGTACTCTTTCAGGAAATTGAACTCATTTTTGATTATGTTAGGAATGTACTGCAAAAGTTCTCATTGGTTTTATTCATCAGCATAGCATAAGGAATAGCAATGTTGTCATTTCATTACAACAAGAGTCAGACCCTATGGAATTTATGTTTCCTCTTGTCGGGAGGGTGAGAAGTCACTGCTGGCCTTTGGCTTCCTGAGATGTCCTACAATGTGGCTAGGAATGGAAGGTGTGGCCCAATGATTACAGCTCTGGGACAGCATTTTTTAGGTAACTGTGATGGGGAAAGAAGAGGCTCCAGCCAGTGTGACAAAAGCTCAGAAGGAATGAGCTGGCCTGGTGCAGAGTGGAAGCATTCTGTTACTATTGTCACTGTCTGCTCCAGCACAGCTTTTTTCTCTGTGACAAGCAAAGCTGCGGCTGTACCTATAATGAGAACTGTGCCTGCTGGAAGCTGTGCATGCTTCAACTAGGGATGACAGACCTGAAAAATGTCATGAGTGATGCCGTCAGTCAAAGCATTTCAGTTTGTGTGACCTGGAGAACTTCCTAGCCTACTGATAGGCCATCTCCTATGTGTGGGCCCGGAGACAGGCTTCACTTAACTCTAACGGGGAACACAGATCTTGGGATTAAGGCAGTAAGATCGGAGGTTTCTGTAGGACTGCTCTGAGAGAAAGAGGGGTTGTGTGGATGGATAGGAGGAGGGTAAGAAGCAGAAAAGCACGAGGTAATTAATGGTCCAGCGGAAACTTCTGGACAAATACAGTGTCTTACAAGAAAGAATGACTTTTAAAGGGTGTCCACTGACCAATTTCCTACATATGTTAGAGAATATCTAAGCGTAAAATAAAAAATGCAAAGATTATTCAATCTCCACAGAAGCATCACTCCACTAAGTGACAGAATTAGGACAACTGTTGGCAAGCCTTTGATCCAGCTTGGGGTCCTTAACTCAGTGGTTCTCAAAACTGTGTCATGCCTTTCCCTACTCTATTCCCCAGCTGAGTCCACAGGTTGAAAATAAGGCATAAAAGTTGACATTTTTAACAAGCCTGCTGGGAAACGCCAGAGGAGATGAAGCAGACTTCTTTAAAAAACCTGCCCCTTTCTTCCTTCCCTCCCATGGAAGACAGCCTGTGAGAGTCCCTTCATCTCTACTCTTACAGAACTTTGGGGAAATATCAATTCCCACCCCAAGCAAAGAGGAGTTGTAGGGATCAAGTAGCCAGCAGATCAGAGAGACCCTATCCAGGATCAAAGAAGTCGAGAACCCGGAGGTCTCAATGAAACCTCAGCTCCAAGGTTTGGGCCAGAGGCCTTACAAAGCCAGAATCGGGTTAGTGACAGGACAAGCAGGTGGGGCTGTGTCCCAGGAGCATTTCTTGAGAGTCTGTAAGGACAGAGCCAGGACCATGTGTCCTGAATCCAAAGCAAAACCTGCTTAATGCTAACATCGAGGGGTTTTCAACATGGTCCCAGACCGTGCTTGTGACCAAAGAACTCAGCACAGACTTCTATGTTGTTCACAACCAAAAAATCTTAGCTTCTCATTGAGTTTTCCACAGACATTTTGAAAGTCCTCTTAGATCAAAAGACTTGACTTGTAGATAAACATTCTTCCATTCCTGGCCCATAGAGGCATCGCTAATTAATTATGGCATATTCCCCTGGAACGCCAGCATAGTCTTGAGTCAACAACACTCACTCCTGCATTGGAGAACCACATGTTATTCCGGGTGTCCATTCAGGCTCCGTCAAATGATCCCTGGCAACTCTCCCCATCCAACTGCTTTTGTTATTGCTGGAAAGCCAGTGAAAGGCTTTCACTGAGATTAATCAACTTTAAGGGAATGGATGGTTAAGAGTGTGGGGTCAGGCTTCAATTCATTTTTATTTTGTTTGTGATCATAAGCCTGCTTTGTAACATACTGTTAATGCTCCTTGTATGTTGTGATTCAACAATTCTGGGTTTGATTAAAATGTTCTCATAAACTGATGCTTATAAAGCATGTGCTGTCCCTGGTCCTATGGGAGAGAAAGTAAAGAAGATCATCCTTGTTCATTAGGGACTCGCAGGATAGGCCGGTGTTGGGCTTCAAACATGCTGCCATTCTATCACAAAGAATGATGGAGAGCAACTACTCTGAAACATCACAGGAAATGTGATCAAGGGACTGAAATGAACAGGCAGAGAAAGTCACAGGACCACCCTATCAGAAACAATAGCACACATCAAACACAGGGGTGTTGACACATGGCATATAGAAAAAAAGATGACATAGGCAACTGTGACTCTTGTCGATGGGAGAAGGTGTCACACACAAGAATGAAATCTCACTTTTTGTGCAAGTTTCAAAACAATGTGAATTCTGATGCTTCACTCCCAGATGAAATGTTTGGCAAGTGTCGCATCATTCCAACGTGGTGGGCCATGTTAATTCGGAATACCGCAGATGGTAAGCTAAGATATGTGCCATCCTTTTTTGAGTGGAAATGTTGCCTGAAGTACCTGCTGTATTATTCGTGCTCTTAACTCTGGAATTCAAAGACAGCAGTGCACTCGGAGGGGCCAGCACTCCATTGCAGTGAGGCCTCCTCCTTGAAGCCATGTACCAGTACCACATGGGTGTGGGACC